CACTTTAAAACAGGAAAGCTGCAAATTAAAAATTAAAAATTTCATTACCGGGAGTGTGAAGCTCTGAAATGTGCACACGAAGTAGTGAAACCTCCGATTGTAAAAATACCTTCTTTCACTTTTTGTTCTCATTTTTTTTTAATTCATGAAAAATTAATTATAGCTACAAGTAATTGTGAACAATCAATTAGCTTTATTAATTTTGACAGATGTACAGTAGTTTTTTCATATAATTTATCATGTGCACCTCTCATGTCAACGGCAATTTAATTCAGTGCAAGAGATTCATCGTATTAATTATTAACAAAAAATGCACACAGCATTATGTAGTGTGGATGAGGAAGCTTTTGGGATGATTCTGTAATTAAAAATATTGATGGGGAAAAAAAAATCGAAACACAAAAATTTTTCCATAATTTAAGTTTGCAATTTTATTGATTATTTAATTGCAATAAACTCAGCTTAGTTTGCTGTTTTAACTCAAGAGCGTGAACGCTATAAATTCGTCTTACTTCTTTTGATTTGGGGTTTGTTTACAAATGACGTCAAATTTGCTAAGGATGTCAATCCTTAGTCAATCCAAATCTACTAGGTAGTCTGTTACTAATTGTCACTTCATAAATATAATTCTTAGAGCGTCTATGTTTTTTGGGAGTCTACACTTACAATAGACATCCTTGATGAACGCTCCCCTTACATCTATAAACAAAGAAATTCTTACTTCTATCAAGCGACTATTTATCTTACTTCACAAACTTTTCTCTCTCAATTCCTTGCTTGTTCCTTTTCAAATTTAAGTTATTTGACGAGAAAAAGTTTTTCATTTGAGAAAACTTAGTTATTACAATATCAATCAGCACATTTCATTTTTATACCACTTAGCAACTAGTTTGCGTCTTTTATCCGCAGCAATTGTAGCTGACCAAAGAAGATCACTTATAAATTTTTAATATTTTTTTAAGTAGGATTTTTTTATTGCTTTTTAAGCACGGTTTTATATGAGGATTTCCTTTTATTTCAAGCAATTCAGTTAATTGAGCTGAATTGCAGTTCTTTTAGTTTTATGAATAATAAAGCTGAATTCAGCGGAATTTTCCATCAATGTTCTATATAAATCTGCATTAATGGGCTCTTTATTAAATCTGAGTATTGTTTTTTTGATGAGTTTATGCTAAATTAGGTTAAATTATTGCTGAATTGAGCTGAAAGAAGAATAAAAATTCTTAATTGAGCTGAATGAAATTTAAAAGTGCTGAATTCAGCTTAATGAACTCTAAATGTGCTTAATTGAGCTGAATGAAGTCTAAAAATTCGTAATTGAGTTGAATGAAGTGAAAAGTAGCTCAAATGTTTAAATTTAAAAAGTATTTCAAATAATTGACTTACAAAAATAAACTTTTCTCCTCTTGAATTAAATTTACTTCATTTAACCCTTATCGTGTTGAATAATTTGTCGTTTAACAGCTGGAATAAAAATTAATTATGTGAAATAATTTTAAATAAGATTTAAATTTCAAGTTTTCGCAGAATTTAGTCAAATCGAGTTAAATTTACATTTGGTAAAAACAACGGAATTACGGTCAAAAAATACTTGGTTTACCCTTGAATAGCCTTAAAAGTTTTAAATTAAGGGAAAATAGCTCCATCAAGTATCATCGCTATCAATAAAAGCATTAAAATATAAATAACAGCCAACAATGAATCAATAATGAGCTGAAATATTTTTAAAATAAATAAAAAAACTTTTAATTCAATTTTTTAAATTTTTTGTTACTCTTTTATTGATAAATTTCAATCAACTTCATTTCCTGTTTTCATTCCTTATAATTACATTAAAGAGAAAATTATCACAGCAATTTCATATTAAACTATTAAATGAACTTATTACAAAATAAAAGCTTAAATATTCGAGAATGAGAACCTGGTTAGCTGCATTGAAATTCAAATGCATTTATGTCAATTATTTCTTTTTTTTCATTCTTTTAATCTACTTTACAGTTTCTTTTTTTTAATTTCTTTTATTTTTATAAAAATATATTTCTTTCAATAATTTAAAAAAAGGATTGAAAATTCAATTGAAAAGAAAATTAAATCTGCATCTACATCTTGAGATTAAAGAGACTTGTGTATGCAGAAAATTTTCATTTCTTATTGAGATTTCATTTTATTTTCATAATTTTAAATGAGATAAAGAAAATTTTCTTTTTAATTAGCACAAAACATAAAATGAACTTTTCTCGTCATGCAACAATTTTTTGTGTTGAAAAGTTTTACATTAGTTAAATATTAATTTTCCTCTATTTTAAATAAAGCTATCACAAGAAACTTCATCATGGTGTATTTGGGTATTGTTTTACTATATTTTTCTAGCTGCTTTTGCCTGACAAATTCATCATTGCATTTAGATGATTGACTGGATTTGTTCCTCAAATTACTGTTCAAAGTTTGCAAAGAAAGTTTTAAAGAATCAAATGAATGTTCATGCTTTAGATCAAATTATAGGGGTAGATTGTTCCCGTAGCTATGGAATCATGTTTCTATCACTTGATCTTGCATCCTTTGTTGGGAAATATTGCTTCAGTTTTTCTTTTTTTTCCATTGAATAGCAATGAATTCAGCTTGTTGAATAAGATTTATGGAAAAATGCAGATAAGTTTAGCTGAATTTTATTGAATATTGTGAAATAATAACTTTTAACCTTATAGTATTCAATTCAGCCTAATTCAGCTTCATAAAGCTTAATTTAGCTTTATTAAGATTAATTTTGTTAAATTAAGGTTATTTAACTGAATAATGCAGCTACACTAAGCTCAACGTAGCTGAATTTAGCAGCAATAAGTTCAAACAAGCTGAATTCAGCAATAATTCGTTTAAATAAGCTTAAAATAGCAATATTAATCTCATATTATCTAAATTGAGGAACATTAAGCTTAAATAAGCTGAATTAAGCTCCTTTTAGCTCAAATAAAGTTCAATATCAACAACTTTAAGCTAATAATATTAAACTAAAAGCTAAAATCTATTAAATATCATCCAATTTTAGGTACACAACTGAATTTAACTTAATTAAGATAAATTGATAGAAACTCTACTAAACAGAGCTAAAATTTTCAAGAACAGCATAATGAGGAACTATTTGCAAAACTAGTCAAAACAAAAATGTGCTTTCACATCAAAATTTTCCATTATTTCCCTATTTGCTTGTCTACGAAAGGGTCTGTCAACATAATCAAATGCATTGAAAGATTTTTACTTTATCATGATGGAAAATTAATGATATTATGAGAATTTTTTTATGCAATAATGAGAGTACATAGATGAGGAAATAATTTAATGAGAATTTTTTGGGCGTCCCAAAAAAAGTTTCTAATTGAATTTTTAAAGCTGATTCAACTCAGCAGCGAGAAAAGCTTTTTAACATTGTTCATTATTGTCATGATAATGCGTTAAGTGTGTGTATGTATGTGCTTGTTATTAGTGTCATCTGGTTTGCTTTATGTCTAAAAGTTTCTTTCCGAGGGGATTTTCCAAAAGCAATAAAATTCAATGCTACTTATTATTATGCATCACTTTTTCTGCCTATTCGTTGCTACTTGTCAATCCAAACGTGTTGGCTCTTGCACGATATTTAAATAAATTTGCATAAATTTTGCAGGAATTGAAACCGATTGATTTTTAATGAGATCAAAATTTGTTTATGGGGAAAAGCTATAAATTCTTTTTAAAAAAATATTTTTAAGGAATTGAAAAATTCTAAAAACATTTTTTGTTTGTATTTTTCCCGTTAAATTCTTGATTTGACTGCCAAGTCTATAAAACCCTTAAGTATATTGAATAATCTCAACAATAAATCCGATTCAATCGTCTCGTCAATTCCTGCTCTTTTATTTAAAACATTTTATGTGCTTTTTGCAAAAATAAAAAATCAAAAGATATTAATAAAAATTATATTAAAGACGACGACGACGTCTCAATTTCAATTATAAGCACATGATGGAAAGGCCATGTGTGAAACGTTTAAATTACTTAATTGTTTTCCTCAGACTGACTGTGCACTTGAATTGATTTCTAATTGACCTATTTAGGTACAAATCTCTTAACTTCAATTACTTTACTTCTTCTTTCTTCTTTCTGCTTCTTTGGATAGTCATATGAGCTTGGGGATAGATATGTTGTTCATGAGTGCATTCAGGGCATAATTGGGAGGGGGATGGGATGTAAATATGAGTTTCAAATATCCAACATATCTTCGATAGTTTGAAGATTTCATCTAATTTGCTTTAAAAACCCCACCTCCTCTATATATGCCCCCAAAACTGATCATATGATCACATAAAAATGTATCTATTTATACTACAGCCAGTCTAATGTGCATGCTTAATTTCAAAACACACATGCTGTCGTAGTGAAAGAATTTGTGTGTGCCGCAAGCAATCCACTTTTATATTTCTTTCTCTCCAATGATTTCATCATCATTACATTTTTTACTAGCTCAAAAAATAAGTTTAATTTGACGCACAGAAATGCGGATTTTGGGTATTCGAAATTAAAACAAAAAAAAGTTGCTTATTTCTCCATTCACAATGTATTTTTGTGTGTGACTTCTTGGAGCATTCACTAGATTTACACAAAAGTGACTTTCTAACAAAAATATTTTAAATAAACTTTTTTTTGGGCAAATGCTCACGTTAAAAAGCATTAATGAATCAAAAGAAGAAGAAATTGTTGGGAAGAAAGTCATTTAATTATTGTGTAGATTGAGAAGCATTTTTGCAGGTGTTTTAACTGCTTTTTGAAGTTTGTAATTTACAAGCTATACAAAATTTGAATTTTACTGGCAACAAGGCTTAAAAACTATCAAAATTTGAAAAAGGGGAGCTAAACTATGAAAACAAATTTAATTTGAGGATCTTATCAATTCAAAATTAAAACTATTCGAAAATATATTTCAATGTAATTCTCACAAAATTTAAGATTTTCATTCCAAAAATCTCAAAGAGACAATGTTTTAGCAAAGTTTTAAAAATTGTGAATTCTTAGTTGAGCACCCCTTTTTAAAATTCAAATTTCGACAACCGTTAAATTTCAAATATCGTTTAAAATTCAAATTTTCCAGAAATCATTAAAATTAAGTTTCACAAATCTGAAATTCAATTTTACTTGCTGTTAATCATCATAACGATCTCAATGTTTTTAAGTCATGGCACTCAACATGCCAATTCAAAGAAAAAAACAGTAGCCAAATCATACAAAAAATGCTCTCAAAACAAATTAGAAAGAAACAGAAGAAGAAGTTGAATAAGAAAACAAAGCATAATGAGACAGACAGTTTTTTTTTTGTTTAATTCATCTGTGCGATGGGAACAGCAAACGGACAAAAAAATAATGTTTTAAATAAATGCAAATTTTTTTCCTATACGTCCACATAAAATTTGGCACAAAATTTGAATTTTAATGACTCTTCTTCTCTTTCCTTACTCTATAAAGCTTTAACGATCTTTGATCGACCTCACAAAAAAAATTATTATTTATCTTTATGTCGTTTTTCGTGTGTCACTCAGTCTATACCTCGACAGGCATCGTTTGATCTTGATTGATTCCATTTTGGCAATTTGTAAATTGACATCTAAATTTTCTCGAACTATCGGCGACAATCTTCAAGATTGACTTCTTCTCTTTTACATTTGAGAGACTCTTTTGGATATTCATCGGACTCTCATTATTATTACTGAAGCTAATATTGCTGCTATTTTTTGAAATGGTGTTGTTCATGGACATCTTGGCAGCATCAAATGGCGTAAGATAGTTGCATGTTTGAAATGACTTTGTTCTTCGAATATTACTGGCCTTAATTCCATTTCCAAGATTTAAGCTCTTGTGTAAATTGTTTTGTCGATAGTTCTTGATTCTTGTACTACAGCTTCTCTTCAAGCTATTCAACTTCTCTAATCGTTCGTTTGTTTTCTTGTCAATACCCAACAGTCTTCGTACCCCGCGTCTTACACGCTTGTTTCGGTATGCAAAGATTATAGGTGAGCAGAGATTCGCGAGTAGAACAAATATTATTGAAAGTAGCGTGATATTTGATTCTTTGATGATACTCTCCTGACCATGAACTAGTAGTAAAATGCCGTATGGAAGGTACGTAAGTAGGAACATTATAACAACTGGAAAGAGAACAAAGAAAAGGGAAAAATTATTAATAAATTGATAACTTGAGTATGTACGCTTTCTGACAGTATTAAAATCAAAGTTAATTTAATGAGAATGCTGCTCATATGTTTACATAAAATTAAAAACAAAACGGTTGATGAGTTTAAGGAACTTGAGGTTTAATGAGAGAAGCCATCTCCTCCTTCTTTATTTCAGTTCTGTGAAATCTTAAGCTCTTTTTGGATAATTTTGATGCATATACTTTGTGAATTGAATGGATTCTGCATTAATTTTTATAATGTTACATTTTTGAGGCTTTTAAAATAGGAGTAATAAGTGCATTAAAGTATTTATAAGCGCACTATAGGATTAATGTGCGCATTATAGAACTAATAAGCGCACTATAGGACAAATGAGTGCACTCCAGGACGAATGAGCGCACTATGGGACTGATAAGCGCACTATAAACCTAATAAGCGCACTATAAGACGAATGAGCGCACTATAGAGCTAATTCGTGCATTATAGGGCTGATAAGCGACTAAAGTTCGTAATATTTAATCTAAAACTCGTCAGCTAATTAATTTCTTCAAGAATTTCATCATCCTTTCAATTTTTACAAACTATATATAGATAATCGGAGATCTCAACAACGTAGGTTGATTAATTACTCACTCCAATAATCTTTTATCAAATTCTACTGTACCAACGTACACACATTCAACAGCACTGTGCATATTTGAACAAGATTGAGTGAGAGATAACGTCACGATGAAGATGTGCTGCTCAATATGAAATATAATGTGAAAACAATACATAAAATCAACAATCGATTGTTGTCTTAAGCTCAGTTCCGATAGCGCATTTTTTTCATTTAAATTTTTAATCCTTATAAAAATTGTCGTTTGTTTCTCTTGAGTGAGTAGATTTAATCGACAGATCTAGAGCTATAAAAAACTCTCAATTTGGCTATTCTAATTTTTTAAAAAAATTCATCTGTTCCGCAATGTATGAAAATAAGATTGACATATCTCAAAACAGAATGTCGAAGCTTTTTAGAGGCCCATTAAAGATATAACATTGAACTAAATTAGAAAAAAAGATTTTTATTTTGGACTTCCAATAATTGTATTTAGGCATAGTAACTGAATAATTGAATAAATTATAAAATAAAAATTGAATTAGAAGTTAAAGATTTCCGGATCTCAAAAAAAAAATTCTGATAAGGAAGACGAATCTTAGTTCAAGGAATAAAACAGACAAAGCGATGAAATCTTCCTCATCCATGAATATACAACAGAAAAAGTCGAAGAAGCGTCAGAGCTGTAAGTTAATAACAACGACACATTAACATTAATACTTTTTATGTCGTTTGATGATGAAAATGATGTTGAAGAGGAAAAAGAAAAGAGAAATCTCACAAAAGCTTGTCTGATAAATTATTCAATTAAATCTTTTATTTAGTTTTGTTGTCTTATAGATGCGCATTTCAATAACAACAGATGTGTTGCTGCTTAATATTTAGCAGAGTCATTAAAACCTTGAAAAGTCAGTGCTTATGCAAAAATACACACAAGATTCATTTTGTATACAGAACAGAAGAGATCATTGCGTTTGAGTGGATATTAGAGTAGGTTAAGATTAAGAGTCAATATTACAATAATAATAAACATATATACAACAAGCCAGTTAATAAGGAATAATGAAGTCTTTTAAAAAACAAGGAAACCTTAGAAGAATCATAAACAAATTAAAATTCATTTGTCTGGCTCTATACTGTATTATTTTCCATACCAAAATGTTTATAGTAATTAGTCATAGATGGTTCTAACAAATCGGTGTAACGCGATAATTTTAAAAGTGAAACTTGAAACTTTCCGCTTTGATAAAAAATTGTTTCTAAAGCATGGCCTTAAATGTTTATTTTTATTTATATTCGATAGGGGTTCAAGTGACTTTTGATATTTTTGCATTCTTTTTTATGAGCTTACACTTGGTTAATCGCAAAAGGTCATGGTTATTAATAAGTTTGTGTCTTAATATATTTAAAAAATTATGAATTTTTGAAATGTCTTTGTTTACATAATCACATGGAGTTTTTGTTCACAAATTTAGGCTTTAATTTGTGCATTTCAATAACTTAAACAATTGGGAACTATTTAATGAATCTGAGCAAAACTTATGCCATCAAATTTAAATTACCAATTGCTCTCAATATGCAGAAAATTACAAATCTTTAATTTTAAAATTACTAATCCAAAATAGCGCGGGAAAATTTAAATGTTCAAAAATAACGAATTTTTAACCTTCAAAACGTCAAAATTTCAAAAACAGCAATTTTAAAATCTTAAAACCCGTTGAAAATACGATCAACTTGATATTTCACGGTCAAAAACCAGAAACAAACCCAGAAAAAAAATACTCAATGAGCACGCAAAAACTTCGCGAAAAATCAGCACACGAATATTCATTTTGATAATTAAAATTATACAAATTATACGATTTTAACATCACACAATGCTAATTGAATTTACAAGGTTTAATGCTCAAAAAAGAGTTTGTAAGCCACAAAATAATTGCATCAGTAGCAATATCCACATATTTAAACAGTTTTCCTGTAATCGTTTCACTTAAGTATTTCTCGTTTCTCACTTAAAAAAACCTCTAATTTGTAGCAACAATTTTAAAGCTCGCAAGAATTGCTTCATAATAATTATTGTGTTAATGAATCACATTTCATAAAACAAAATCATCATGATATGCGAATGTGGAAGAATGAATATGCAGAATCGCGATGAGACACCATTTTTTGGTCTTCCTTTACATTGTGAAGATGTAGATAAGCCGAATGTGAAAGGATGATGGAAATTTCAAAGTCCACAAAGTCGATGACGATTAATAATAAAGAAAAAAAAAAGAAATCTTACCCAATATGCTTATTCTGGCAGCACGGCCTTCTTCTCGATATTTGAATAATGAGCTAGCATTTGATAGCCTGTGACGTAAGGACGTCATATATCTTAATGCTTTTGGCGATGCTTGTATTGACGGCAATTCTAATGTCTGATCTTGATTGCATGTCATTAATTCAGGTGATGTCACATGATGGAGATTCGGTGTCGAATGGACTTGTCTTAGTTCAACAACTTTTGACTCGTCATGTCGACCGTTGAAATCACTTTCGGTTAATAAATGTAAGTGTTTAACGCTGTGATTACGTTTCATTGTTTGCTCACAAACCGTTGTTAGCGTAAGCAAAATATTTTGATGTTGTTGCGATTTAGGTCCAATTGAAGTCTCTTCGTCAAATGTACTTAACATAGGCATACACTCGTGAGGCGGTGATGATAATAAAAATGTTTTTGTATGATGCTCGCTGCTATATCCTCCATTGCTTATTCCATTAAGATTTAATGTTGTCGGATGATCTCTTTGATGCTCGACATTTACGACTGAGTAGTTCTGTTTGTCAATTTTCATCGTAAGACCATCACTGATTAAATTGGTGGGCACATAATTGTTACTATTAGAATTGTTATTGTTATTATTATTTATAAAATAATTAGCGCAACTGCTATCTTGTTTATTCATAACAAGCTGTTTATTATTTGTCTGCTGATGATGGTGTTGATGATGATGATGATGATGATGAGGTGATGATGTTGACAATAACATACATTGAGGATTCGTAAGTATTGTTGATTGCTGCGGATGAGCATTTGCGGTGGCGGCAAGATTGAGAGCACTCTGTAGTAATGGAGATGATCCATTTTGTCTCATTCGCTGTCCACTTTCGCGTGCCTCTGAATAAATTCGCCAATACATAAGAATAACTAACAGGAATGGCATTATTATGATGAGAAGGAAGTATGTTAATAAAAACATCATATTATACTTTTTATCATTAACGACGCTTTCCAACGTATCGTCTGATAAGATAAACCCGACGTCTGATGCCGTTCGAAGGGCTGACGCAATACCAAATATAATACTTAATATCCAGCATAGTGCTATGAGTAGCCATGCTTTTAAATCAGATATTCTCGAATGATAGCGTAATGGATCTGTCACAGCAATGAATGTATCTAAAATAACTAATAACACAGATAATACACTTAACGCTACGACTAAATCCAAACTCCATGTTTGATACTTTCGCATGGAAATATTTTCTATAGTCTCAATTAGTTTATAACTATAACTTTCATTACTGGCACCAGACTGTTTCATATGATAGAGGCACTCAAGCGTTTGATTGGAGCATTCATCCACTGTTGTATCGTTATTTCCATTTGTTGTATTATTGTCCACCTTACTAACCACATCCGTGGCTAATTGACTATTACTGCTATTGTTAATGTTTGATGATGATGATGTAATAAAGCTCGTGGGTGAGTTTGCATTGACATTGAAGGCAAACGGTGATAATATTAGGCAACTTATAAAGTTTACTAGAAGCAAATTAATGACAAAACGATTTGCAGTTGTACGAAGACTAGGAGTTATCCAGAATGCACCAATAGCTAGCACATTTATAAATCCGGACAGTAGTAATAGAGCACCAACAAATATGTCTCCGATCATATTGCATTTATGTATTTTGATTAATTATAAAATATATATAAACAAAAATTCTCTTTCACTTTTTTTTTAATTTTATATTTTCTTTCTTTTTTGCTGAATTTAAAGCAGTTGTTGTAATGACGCAACCTGCGAAATGTGTGCGGTTTATTTATAATTCTGCTATATTTTTTTTCACTCGTTTAATAATATTTAACTTTCAAGTTCTACAATTGTCCCTGTACATTTTGCACTTTTTACAATCGTAATTCATTCCACTTTGTGCACTACACCTTTTTTTATTTTTAGAGTTTCTTCTTATTCTTGATTACTTTAAATTTGTCTGACAACAGAGTTTCTCACATTATCACTTCTTTAGCATGATAAAGCTATTTTCATATTCCCTTATATGTCGCATGTATCACATTTACAAAAAGTGATTTTTATATATTCCATTCATGTATTTTATCAGTTTAACACTCAGCTGCAATGCATGTTGATATTATATTGATGCTGATGAGGGAATTATGGCAATCTTTTTTCTCTTCTCTCGATTTATTTTTTTGTTTTACATTAAATTGGCGTTAATTATTTGATAATTAGTTTCATTATCATAAATGCAAATGTTTTCACATGCATCTATCGGCTTAAAGTTTCTTGTTTGCTGTCACTTGTTACGTCAATGCAGATTCAATCGTATTGTTAATTAATTCTTGTTAAAATTCCTCGCTTGTTTCAATTTTTTTTCTTTATGTAAGAATTACTTTACAGTCCTCGCACTCGAAGCTTCCAAGCTGTATTCTGTAAAAGACAAAATGAGAAAAAGAAATTAATGAGAAAATATTTCCTTGGGAGATTTTTTTGACACTTTTTAAGTGGTTTTTGTAGATAGTCTATTTAATGTAATTATGGTCATTGACTTTGATTTTCTTTACGCTCATTTTATCTTCTTTCTTAATTATGGCGATATATACTTAAGATAATCACTTTCACGAATCTTTTTTGATGGACTTTTCGCTAAAAAGAATCTTTGTGGTTGTTGTTTTGAATAACTTTATGTGGTTTAGGAGTATTCTTTTGTTTTATTGAAAAGTTTACGGTCTTATGCCTTTTTTGATGCTTGTTTAATAAGTCTAAGTTGTCTTTAATTCATAAAAAGAAACTTAAGGGGCTGTTCACTTATTACGAAACGCGAAAAAATGACTTCTTAGACCCCCCCCCCCCTCGTAACAAAATTTGTATGAAAAAAAAATTTCCTTGTTTGAACCGTAACAAAATCTTAGACCCCCCTTCCCCTAAAAGCGTTACGTAATAAGTGAATGGCCCCTAATGTAAATCAATTTTTTTCACATTTCTGACCAACAGTAAAGTCCCTTTGAAACCTTTTCATTGAATAGATAAGTCTACAATTACCCGTATGAATAATTATTGCTATGCCGCAAAATTTTTCCATTCAATCTACCATAACGTCAGCAAATGATACGGTTTACTTAAGTGAAGTCAATCCGCAAATCAATATTTATTGACTTTTAATTCTCGTTATAAAAACTCTAGAAAACGACTAGTCTTTTATTTACACATACAAAAAAGTGCCATTCAAAAAAGTCATATGGTTAAATTTTTTAAAGTTCTGGATAGAGTATTAGTTCCAGTATTAAATAAACCAGAAATGTTAAAATGATTTCATTCAGTTTTTTCCGTAAAAAAATAAATGCAAACAATCATGAATTGACGTTCATTCATTCAAAATTTTGCATGAATGCCTGACTTTTTGGGTTTCTCAAAAGCAATATGGTTAAAAAAAACAAACTGGCGCTTATATCTGACTGAAAAACATTTTAAATCATGATGATATTTCCAAAATTATTGCTTTATTGACAGACGCTTATCAGTAATTTCCTAATTTAAAAATGTGAGACTTCTTGATAAATTGATTCGTCATGTAATTTAAGGGAACTATATATAGCGTACGAGCAACAATTTCACAAGAAATCAGGTGTGTTTTAAAGTTCATTAATATTTTTATTTTGAAGAATTCAGACATGTGAAAATCTTCCGCAGTTTAATCTCGACTGACATAAAAATGTCATTTTAATGTTTTAAGATTGTTGCGATTTTTTTGATAAAGCTAGGGAAAAAAATTAATTTCGTAAGAATTGTTGACTTTGCGACGTTGATTTGTGTGGCATCTAATGGAATTTCACAGGAAATAAAATTTTGTAGATTTTTTTTTTAATTTGTTTCTTTTCGGTGAATTCCATGAAAAAATTACAAAACCTTTAAAAACGGTTAAAATCTTAAAAATTTGAGTTCAAGAGCAGATTATTAAATTTTGAGGTTATGTTCTTGACGCTTTAAGAAAAAACCTAGAATTTTAAATTGTAAGACTTTACACCCTTATCAGCACACTTAAGCTTACTTAACATTATACCCAGATTTTTTTCAAGTATGCACAAATCGCAAGAAATTCAAAGAAGCCATAAATCATGTGGAGTCTAATAACTTATAAGTACTTGATAAGTGAAACGAGGTAACATAATTGGGACTCTTAATTCGATAAGAATAAAAGTCAATGAAAATGACGGATTTTATAGAAATTACTTTTTAATATCTCGAGTAAGGTATTTGTGTGTCGAGAAGAGTTGTGGGAAGAAATTGGCACAAACGTGTTTGGTACTTAAAAAATTCCACTGACATGAACACATTCTTAAAGTCTTTGTCTCTGTTTTCAGATCTGTGCTAAAATCCAACGTTATTTCACAAGCGCATTAAAGCTATTGCTCATTTTTCAATTCCATCAACGAGTCTTATGGATGATGTAACACTGAATTAATCTTCATGCTCGTTAAACTACTTAAAGCGAGAGGAGAAATTTTAATTATGAAAAGAGCATAAATGAAATTTTTTATAACCCATCTCCAACATGATCCACATTTTCTCAATTCTTCCGCTAAATTTGCGACCAAAAAAAAAAAGAATTTTATTGCATAAATATAAAAACTGAGATCATATTGGATTATATGACAGAACATTCTCATATTTTTATGAATGAACTAAGAGATTTGTTGCATTAAGCACTGAAAGATTACAAAATTATGGTTAGACTATTTCACAAATGGAAGCAGAGCGACAAAAGAAGTATTGTACAAAAAAAATTAATTTAAATATTGCACTCGACTAAATACAAAAGCAGATTCTTCATATCCTGCAGACTCACAATCTCTCAAAAACTACAATTTTATGCAAACAATGTAACAATTTCATATTGCATTACACTTGCTGCAAATAAGGAATTTTAAATTCATTTGTCTAACCTCAGGCGAAGCCAATGAATCTCATTTGGGGACAATTTATCTGAGAAATCTCATTTAATGAATGTTTTTGAATTAAAATTAATCTGTGAGACATGAGATTTGTGCTGTAGGAATAAGGAAGCAAATTCTTTTTTACTAAACGCTTCTTTGAAGCAGAAAACTTTGCATCTTTTTTTTCTGAACACACTTTAGTAGCAGAATTTGTTTGCGTCTTTTTTTACTGAACTCACAATTGAAGCAGAAAATTTTCGCTTCATTTTTTTTTACTAAACTCTTTGAAACTTTGTTTAATGCAAAAAGCAAGAAACTTTCATCCCATTGGCACACTCAGGATCTGAATCACAGAGAAACCAGAACGAAAAAAAAAATGTCTTTCCTTCACCTTAACTATAATAAATATCATACCAACATGCACTCTCAGCAGTACCGTCCACTACTGTTTGCTAAATTTTACCTCATTCTGTATTGTTCATTCATTCAATGAATGCAGTTTGCATACCTATCTACCTCTATGTCTCGTACAGTAATGATTTTGTGTGCTTAAAACAACTGACTATTTAAGATATTTTAATGTGATGTGTGGCACATAGTTATGGCTATAGTTTATAATAAAATTATCATGAGGCTGTATAAGCAGTAGCTTTGGCTATTTATAAAGAATATCGGAAATCTTTTCAATATTTTTATCTCCATACAACTTTAATGAGAAGCAGCAAATCTAATGCTATCAACACTCGAGATTATATCTTTTTTTTCGTTTGTTACGAGACTGAGAAGAAAAAGAACCGACGGTGTATTGGCTAGTGCGGCAGATATTAAAGAAAACTTCGCTCGATAAACGCATGAAAATAAGCAGATGTTGAAAAAACATAGAATAAGTTTTTAAAGCTTTATCTTCAGTAAATCTCGATTTATTACTTGCTAAATGTCTGAGTCTTTAGCTTTAAATTGTGTCTCTTTTTGTGTATTTGTTTCTTAAGCAAGACAAAGTTCTTCTCGCTCCATTAAGCACCGTTAATTGTGATTTTCCTTCTTGTGATGTTCATTCATAAATGAACAAAAAACAAAATTGTGACAGCACTTTGGGTAAAAAATCATTTATTTTAATTGAAATTGAAGATAGAAGTGATAGTGCTAAAGCTCACAAATAAGAGACAGTTTAAGAGTATTCATTAGTGATGTCCATCGACAATATTTTTTTCTACTACAAACCCAAGATTAGGTTAGGTGTATACCTGACAAATGGCTCTATAGGATGTCCCATATTAAATCATCACTCTAAATTCTAGTCGTCATTTACAAACACATCCCAAATAAATGACAAGCAAAGATAAAAAACTTTCTTATTCATTAAAAAGCGAGAGAAAAAAAAGTGTCGCGAAAGGGAAAAAAAAATCTAGAAAGAAAAAGTTTAAGAACAGATAGAGGAACTGGCGACTCAACATGATATTGTTGCTGTAATTTTGTTTTTGATTGAATTACAAAAAAGAGCGAGAATGCGAAAAAATTCCTACAGAAAAAAAATGCAGTTGATCGCACTCAAACTGCGAGAGAGTCAGAAACAAGTTTATTGGGTATGCATATATGAAGTTAACGCAAAGATTGCACAAAAAAAAGTCATCAGTAAAATGATTATTAAATTAAATTGTGATTTTTTTAAGAATGTTTCAGACGAATTTTTGCGGAATAAAGTTATTAATAATTAAAAACATTGATGAACTGCATCACGTTTAATGAGTAAGATATCATTAGAATTAATGAATGTACAAAAAAATGTTTAAGTTTAAAAACAAAATACACTTTTTATTGCATTTTATTAGAATTGTTTGAGCGCGTGTTTTGCGTTGTTATGTTAAACTTAGTAGACAGCTCAACGGCTGTCGGTGAGCTTGAAATTTCATTTTAATTCAAGTTTGTTGCTGGTAATATGCATGAAGCTTACAGTTGTCAGTTCTACTTGAATTTATCAGTTTCTTTCCATCAGACAAAAAAACATTGTTAATAAATATCTTAATCTGTAACTCAACAACCAGTACAAAGTCTACAAGATAAGGGGCCGTTCACTTATGACGTCCAGGGGGGTCTGCAAGAACAGAACAATAGAAATTCCTGGAAATCCATTGTTCTTTTTTGAAAAATGACCGTTAATTTCAGACGTCATAAGTGAACGAACCCTAAATGATCTAAATATAAATCAGAATAATTAAAGGAATTCTTAGAATACATTCAGAACGTCAAATCTTGTATCCATCGACTGGAAAACACGCAAATAAATTAATTTCTTAAATGTCATTGTTCTATTGAATCAAATATTAGTTCCGTTAATCATTTTATTGTCGCTGATAGTCCAGAACATGTCATAAAAATTTATTTAAACTGATTTTAAATAAATAATTTCTATTTTAATGATAATCACGATAAAACTGGATGCTTAGTAAGGATAAATAATGATTCACACTTGGTTTATTTACTTTCTAACTGCTTTCAAGCAGATTTCTAGTTTTTTAATGACTTTTCTTGAGCACAATTTCTGATCATATAAGCATAAAGTCAAAACAAATGGAACATCAACCATAACGAGGAGCGTGTCATTATTTAAATGATGCAAATATATCAAAATAATAACCGTTATAAATTCCAACATCTCAATTCTGCCTCATTTAATGACAATTATCTCAATTACAAAAGATACATTTCAAAATTCCAAAGTGCGTTGCAAAAAATATTCATCATATTCATAAGCATTTCCTCATTATTAGTTTCGCAACCATCTCATTTATTTAATTTACTGGTCAGTCAGTGTTGAAAATTCATTATATTCATCAACCTACAGTTATATTCAGTCATCTGCCTTAATTCAGAGAATATTCTTGTTCTTCTATTCGTTTATAATACAACACAAAGTGCAGATTTTGATTAATTTTGATAAGCACAAAGCGAAGAGAAGAAACAACAATGAAATAAATTATTCAACAATCATTTGAGCAAGACTCCTCGTTCACCTTCAACCGGTATAATGGATAGTTGATCATAAAAATAAAATGCTAGAAACGACCAAAATAAATAATAAATTTTTCGGCTACGGTTTGGTCTATAAATAGAATATCGCCAATATCCATCGATTTTTGTATCAACAGCTGGCCTCTAGATGAAATCAGGGGGATACTTGGATACTTTTTGGGGGGAATTTGAAAATTTTTTTCTACTCAAACACTCTAGAAAATT